TTGTTAAATTTTTTGTTCCCTACAAAACGTACGTTTGTATATTGTAATTGTTAAAAGACAATGATAAAGTCGATGCTTCTGGCTCTGTTTAAAAGTAGCCATCGTTTTGAAATGAAAATACTTTTTGATGTCAAAAAAGTTTATAGAGATAAAATTACTTAGTGTACGTATGAAACTTACGACTTTTCTACGGAGACATGTGAATAAAATTTATTTTTTATATAAACATGTGAATAAAGTTTATTTTTTTAATTAACATGTGACGAATTTAATTCTTTTATTTTACCATAAAATAAATAATGAAAGCTCAAAGGACATTATTAATTATTAAATATGGCTTTATACAAATTCCTTACTTTACACAACAATATACCGATTGCTTTAAATTTAGCCACTAATAAAAATTTAATTCCATATGTGTAAGAATTTAACGAATCGTAAATAATAAGCACAAACAATGAGAATGGAAGATTTTATATTCAACGTATATTTTAATTGTTTTATTTGCGAAGAATTACAAGGCACTTGGAGCAAATTAAGCAAGGAAAAAATTAGAACGGATTCAGTCGGCTCACAAACAAGCATTTAATGCCGCTGCTCCATTACTAGAAATCTATATAATTCTATTCATAAAAAAATTTAAGTTCATATTGATTAGGTTAGCTGAAAAAGCGCGAGAACCAGCTATTTAAATTTCCGGATATGTCGAACGTTTCTAAATGTTAAAATCCCGTCTTATAGTTAAATGACCAAATGACCAGATTACAATCCAACGGAAACACCTGAACTGTACAATTAGTAGAAAAGCATTTTCTCCTCTCCAAACACACACACACACGCGCGCGCGCGCACTCACGCACGCACGCATATGACTTTTTTTCTTTCACAGGGCGTTGCATAGTACTTGAAGAACACGCGTGTAACGTTATTACACAGGCGGGAAATATATTATGCCGTAGCCATTTCGTTGTGTCGTTACATCCTCCTCTCTCACTCACGCTCACACATCTCTCACTCTCACTCTCGCTCTTCCCCGTCCCTTCCACATTTCAATTATCAAGGAATCTTAGCTTCTTGTCGATATTTCGACACTTCCTTTACCTACGATGAATCCCCAAGTCTCTCACTATTCTATCGTTATCTGTCTTTCCTCCTTCTCCTCCTCATCCTCCTCCTCATCATTTTCCACGACTTTTACCGCATGCAGTAAAATTTAAAGTTCCTTCTGTTTTTACTCATTGAGTGGCGAGTCAATGCTCAAAAAAAGGATTGTACGCTTAATAAGCATTTTCCAGACGTGGATGATTCGATAGAAACTAAGCGTTCCGTTGAATTTGCTTCTCTTCCTGGTTGCACCTTAACTACTTCTGTTTCATAAATTACGGCTACAAATTTATTCTTAAAATTTATTCCAGCGCCTAGTTTCATTATATTTATATTATGCTTTTTACGAAAATTATAATTATAATTAAGCTAATAGAGAGTAGTGTTTAATAAAATTCCAAGGCTAGGAAAATTTTTCTAAAGCAGTGGGTCTCTGCATAGTTAAATACGACCAATAAGATTATTAATTGTTTGAGAACAATAATTCAGTAATGCCAGGAGCAGATGAAATAGATCTATCATAGGTAATATATTATATTAACTTCTCTTACAATTACTAAGAAAATTCTCTCTAACATAATAAAACTGTTTAAATGCGATTAATACAGCAATTTATTATCAAAAGTTTTTAGATGTTATATTAATATTAAAATAAATATCGTTTTATTATTAAAGATTAAAATATTATTAATTAACTAGTTATACATTCATTTTACTGTAGATATAGTGTATAAGAACTCAGTAATTATAGAATTTAATTTTCTTAATTGTAAATTCAAATATTTAGAATTGCTATATGTTCTGATAATAATTTCTCGCTAATTATTGTTAAGTAATTTTGAATTTGGAATATAATATTATCTAGCATTATAATAATCTATCATTTATATTAAATAATAACAATAATTATAAACATATGTATAATTTTATAAAAGAGATAGACATTAAACTAACTTAATAATGTACAATTAATATTACAAAAATTGATATGGAAACAAATTTTATGCGTCAATATAAATAGTTTTAATCGTATAGCTAATATCGATAAAAAATATTATTTTTATTTTAAAACATTATGTATGGACAGTAATACGTTTTAATAAAAATCTAAAAAGTATCAGCCTAAAATGTATAGAATATTAATGTTAATATTTAATCATTTTCTTGTTAAGCAAATGTGAACATAATGAAATATTATGAGATACATAATGTTCATAGTAGAAGTATTAATTTTATATAAGAGAAAATAATTTTATACATAAATTGATAACTACATATTAGGAAAAATATGAAATTCAAAATTACAATAGTTTCTATAAAATACTAAGTAAAAAATTTCATACACTGTTATTACATTTTATGGAGTAAAAATTACGAACATTTTGTATGATTTTTTCATTTAAAAATTGAATGAACAAGTTTCGTAAACTTATATTACTTATTTAAATAACATACAATACGGATCCGTGAATACATTTATAATGAATACATTTTTTGCCTTAATTAAAATTATTATTCTCTCAAAACATAATATTTGTTACGATTATTATCTTTATATATTACTAATAAATTATTGAATATTTATAAAAATATTTCTATTGAGATAACATTAATAAAAGCAATCTGATTAAACGATTGCCATAATATTCTATAAAAATTTTATGTACAGCTTTTTTAATAAATGAATATTAATTTAAATATATATATATATATATATATATATATATATATATGTATAAATATTTATTTTAGAATAAAACTTAATCCGTGATTTAATGTAAAGAAACATTTTCTAACATTTTATGTCACAATCATTGTCCGTTAAGATGTACTCTCTCTTACAACATATAGATAATCGTGATGAGAGAGTCAATCCTTGTGAAATTTTTATGTACCTGCTTTGCGATTTTGAATATGATAATTATAATTATTAGATAAGTATTAACTAAGGGGATTAAATGTTTCATATAGTGACAGCATTTAAAATATTATATTAAAACAATTATATTATATTATATTATATTATATTAAATAATTAAATTATATTAATAATTAATATTAAATATTGTTCAAATAAATTGATTTAATATTAATAATTGTACAGTGCTAAGGAGAAACAAGTAACTAACGATGTATAGTAATAACTTTCAATTGTCTGATTAATTTAAACGTCTTCAATTACATTTTCGTTATTTGTTCTATAACAAAATATCTCTGTACAAAATATCAATGTTACAAAAACCGTCACAAAATATATTTTATTCCCGTAATAAGATAAGCACATACATCTACTAAACTATATCTATATAATCAAATGAAAAACAATCTATATTTGTGGCAATATAATGATTTAATATATACGTAATACTTACAAGTGTAAAAAATTATTTAATCAATCTTTAATTTCACTATTGATTTTCATTTAAAATTTAACAATTTAATGAAAAATTTCCTACCGAAATGAAATACCTACCAAAATCTACAATTATTTTTAAGTAATATTTTCAATTTTTTTAAGTGTCCGAAATATTTACTCATCTCTAAAAACTCTATATTAATAAAGGAATTTTTTTATTATACAAACAATGTATTTATGTATATATATATATATATATATATATATATATAGATATATTTTTTTTTTAAGAGAAATGATTACATATGAATTACAATACCTTAGTTGACTTGTTTGATATAGAATATTTGAAAAATCAATCAATATTTACAAAATGTTCAATAAAAGTCTATAAAATAATATTAAACAGACAATTTCAATAATTATCATTATTTATATAAATAATTATTATTTATTAGTTACAAAACTTCATGGTTCAAAATAGAAATTAGGAAATGTAATATAGAACGAATCTTACTTAGTATACTTCATACATTGTAATTTGTTGTATTAGTTTTTCAATTCATTTATCAATTTCGAAAAAATTTTTAAAAAATTTTATATACTATAGACCTATAAATTCTAAAAAATCTATAATTGTGCCTATACATTTTATGTATCATGAATAATGAAATTTTATAATAGAAGTAAATAACGAAAAGTTATTTCATGATTATTATTTATTACATTTCCACAATACATGTGCAAATGTAAATTTACATTTACAATTACACAAAAAATAAAGTTTTCGTATTACAGTTATTTTAAAAATTAAATATCAGAGATTTGAAAAGCTTAAAAATTATGTTAAGTATATTAAAATATTAATATTTTAAATCTTTGATATATATATATATATATATAGACATAGTTATAGGATTATCGATTATTGATTTTAAGTTCTCACAGACAACTTATTACATATACATAAAGTAAATGACATATTTGATGTAGGCATTGTACATATCTCGTTGACAGTTAAGTCACACCTATCTACTTGAATTTTTAATATCAGAAGCTATTATTATTCCAATGCTTGAATGTTTAGATATTTTTGATATTTTAAACTTTGAAAACTGAAGGATAAATAATTATATTCGTAAATTTTATTCATTTAAAAATTTAATATTTAAAATAAATATTAAAAATTTATTTGTCCTATTCAATTAGCAATTAAAATTTGAATAAATATTAAATTTTTTTTCCTTCTCATATTAAATTATGTCATATATAAAAGAAAATAAGAAAAAAAGTCTATGAACGTGAAACTTCTAATAAATAAGAAGGAAAGTAATAAATTAGAATGAAAAGATTTTCACAACTTTATAATTAATGAAATACTCTCAATAACTAAAAAGAAATTGAAGAAAAAAAAATTATCATTAAGATTTATTATATTCCTTGCTATTTTACTATATGAAAGGTACCCAATTTCCATTCACCAAGCAAAAGATTTTTCTATACGGTATTTTTTAATT